TGAGCACCGCCCCCTAGAGTCGAACACGACTGACTAAAATGTCAAGGGGAACCTTTACTTTTACCTTCTTTACAACATTGTTTCAGTTCATTGAGGTTTGTGGGCATTTGTTTATGCACAGCTCTCTTAAAGTCCTACCACATAATTCCAATCAGGTTAAGATCTGTCTGGACTTTGACTGGGCTGCTGCAACATTTTGATTCTTTTCTTTTTCAGCCATTCTTGTAGATTTGCTGGTGTGGTTGGAATGATTGTCCTGTTGCAGGACCCAATTTCATCCAAGCTTTAGCTGTTGGATGGATGGCCTCACATTTCACTCTAGAATACTTTGGTATACGGAGAATTTCATGGTTGACTCAGTGTGAGGGTTCAACTTTTGGCTCCTCTTTCAGTTCACAGAAATCAGAAGATTTTTGTTGCTTCGAAACAGGTGAAAGATTTATTGGTGAATTTAACAATAAACAAGTGTCTGCAACATGATTATGAGTCTTTTCTCCTTCAGCCAACGAGTCCGGAAGGGGTCTCCAGTCTTCAAACAGGAATGGGTTACTATTGTCCCATGCTCCCGGTAAATCAGCGGGGACCCAGCCTCTTGAGGTCTGCCCCGTCGAACCTTCCAGCAAGGGCACGGTCTTGTCCTCCCGATCACCATTCCACAGGGTTCATCCCTCGGGGTCTCGATCCTCCCAGGGTCCTCTCTGTAGTTCTTCTTCATATCTCTTATTCTCCATTCTAGCCTCGTTCTCATTTCTCTCTCAACTCTTGCTCTTCTTTTAACCTCCTCCTCCACTCTCTAGCCTTGGCTTCTCCCCAATAAGATGGACACACACAAAGGCATGGAAGTACATTCATGCTTTCAAGCAATGGAGCTTAGCCCCTGCCAAGGGAGATTTCTTTTTCTAATATTTCCACCTCTGGTGGCTTTGGTTTATTTAAGAACCAAATAAACACTTCTTCTTTAGGCAGGAAAGGCACACTATGACATTTTTAGTGTGACAATTTCCCAGGCTTTCCTTTGTAATTTCTCTTCATAGGCCTTGACTAATCCACTTAGGGCACACAAGATATTACTGTAGTTAGCTTTTTTTATGGCATCAAGGATAGGGAGCAGTTGGAAGAGCATAATTCTTGGGACCCCAACTTGCCTGATGTAACAGTTCTTAGGAGTCTTGGCAGGCTATCTGATTCTAAAGTTATCCCTGCTTTATTCTAGGATTGGTTTTATAATCAGTTTCCCAAATTCTCACATTAGTCCAAAGCCTGTAAAATTGCCTATCTGTCTAGAACTGATTCATCTGTCGATAGTCCACAGCTATGTAGTAGACACAGGCCTTATGGGAAGTGAAGACAGCAGGGCCATTTGGCCCAGACCTCACCTTGCGGGTGGCAAGGTGTGTCACTTCTGCCAAGGGTCCATGGCTTTATATAATATATCTTGGGGTGAATTTGCTTGGATTTCCACTCCTGAGAAGATTGGCAACTATCTTGAATGTTTCCCACTTGTAAATAGTCTTCATCACTGTAGAAGAAGACTTTAAATTGCTTGGAAATGGTCTTATAACCCTTCCCAGTTTGATGGGAAGTAACAATTGTTTCTCTACGATCAGTACTGATGCGTTTCCTCCTTGATACTGTGTTAACATACACCTGAAAGCTCTGGCCCAGCAAACTGCTAAAGCTTCGATTTTTATAGAGGTGGTCACACTTGCTGATAATCAGTTTCTCAAGGGCATTTGGTTAACATCACCCGGCTGCTTCATAGCTTCTTAATTCCCATGGAAGCAGTAAGAACGTGCTTAGTTTTTCACACATGGCTTCTCCATTTTGGCTTTATTTTTGTTAAATAAATCATGGCACAGTGTAATATGTCACGTGTTGTTGTTCATCTGAGGTTGTCTTTACCTAATTTTCAGACTTGCTAAGGACCAGATGATTTTTATTATGTCCTTATACACAAAACCATGGAATTCAAAGAGGGTGTATTTTCTTTTTCACATGACTTTATCTGTCAACTATTTCTTCATTTATTTCCTCTTTTCCTCTTTTTTTTCTTCATGAACCCAAAGTTCACACCAAAGACCTTGTTTTCCCTCAGCGTGCACATTTCTCAGTAGCAAGATTAGACATAAGAATTATTAAGGTAAACAAAAAACCTAAAAGTTTTCATAGGAGATAAGCACACAAGAATAGTTTTGTTTATCCATTACAAAACAAAAGTTGAATCCTTGTCCAAACTTCAGTGTAGTTAAGTAAAACAACTCTGAGCACTTGGTAGAAAGGGAAAGGTTAATGCTCAATCGTGAATTCCATTAGCAAATGCAACCTCAGTTAAGGAGGAGCTGTCTTTCCACCTAAGGATTTCTTTAGAGAAGAAATTAGTTGTCATTCATACAGCTAATTTTGAGGCCACAAGTTCTGTCCATGTCTGTATATGAATTTAAAATAAAACTAAACATAGCAAAACAGATTTTTCCACACTCTTTTGATACTCCTTTAACATTTGTAACTGTGCATATGATACCATGATAATGGTTGTACTTCTGCCTTCCTGGACACGTTAGTTACAGGCTTGTAGCAAAATCCTATGGAAAATCCTTAAAGATGTCCAAATCATATCGCTGGGCATAGTCAGAGACTTGAGCCCCTTTTCCAGAAGAAACACAGTATCTACTAAGAGGACTCTAAATCATTTTGGTTAATTTGGGGTGGAAGACACACACGTGTGTCTTTTAAAATGTGTTTATGGCAAAAACATGCATGTCTGTTCCACCATAACCTAAATACATAAGACTTGCTGTGTGTGGTAAAAGTGTTCATTTCAGGATTATTTTGTTTTAAAAATTGATTAATGAATTGTGGTTAAGTAAAGACGAAAGTAAAGCAAAACCGTATTTATTTACTAGATAATCAACCACTACAGGTAACGTTTGAGGCAGGCCAAAGATCTTCATTTCTCTGTGGGACTCTGGGCAGCTACATTTTATGCCTTCTGCTGCCCCTGGACGTTTGAAAAAGTTAGGGAAAAGAGTGAGCACAGAATGATGGGGGGGAAAGACCAGCAAGAAAGTGGAAGATCTGTATGGAAAGGAAGAACAAGGAAAGAGGCAGAGAACCAGGATAGGATCAGAGACTAAAGAGTTTCTAAACCTTGTGGAGTTGGTACTTTATGATACAGTGGAAGGAATAAGCATTGCAACTTTACCTTCTGAACAAAAACCTTTGTTAACGCTCCTCTTTTTCTCAATGAAATTTATGAGAGGAAGGTTAAAGAAAAAGAAACCTATATTCATCGATCAGTGGTTTTATATTCTGTCTTTGAGGATTTCACTCAACACTTTCTGCATATTTCCACAACTCTCTCCTCAGTGATGAAGGTATAAAGGTGCCTGTTTTAATTCTGAAAGGTGCTGTCAGATTGCTGAATTCAGTACTTTTGTGACTAAATCATAGATATGTATGAGGTGTTTGGAAATTTGCCTGTAGATGAGTGTGTGGGTTAGGTACTGCAGTCCTGCCTCTGGAGTGTTTGTTAGGAGACTGACTGACCGTTCATTGATTTCCTCATTGTTGGCAGTGGGTTTATTTTATTTTATTTGTTTTTGTTTTTAGTTTTAGAGACCGAATTAACAGCCACTGCTGCAAATGGTGATGATGATGAAGAAGAGGGAGAACAGTTTGACTTTGACAGTGGAGATGAGATACCAGAAGCAGACCGACAAACTATTTTGCCACCTAATTCTGAGTCTAAAACTAATGAAGAACAGGGAGAGTTGGGCTCTACAGGTACATAGTGTATATCCATTCTTAAAAATCATTGCTGCATTTTATTTGTTTCTCACCATGAAGTCCCCATTGTGAATTCCATAAAGGATCAAGCCATACCTAAAACTGGTGTTGCAGAAACACAATCTCCAAGTAAGTGTCCTGACTACAACATTAAGTATCCTCAGCTCTGCCAATGTGCCCTGCCCATCACACCACAGATTCAAGGCATCACTTCTACAGGAGCCTGCACATGATCCATGTTCTGTAAATAGTGGGAATGGTACAGGTAGCATATGGTATATTGGGAGCTGACGTGTGTGCACTTGTGCAAATGACACTTTCAGCATATCAAGACAGGGATGCCTGAGAGCCAGCAGATACAATTCCAGTCTCTGCCTCCACACACAACACATTTATTTCTTCCCCGAATGATTACCTTTACAGGTAGGACTTTGATACGATGCAAAAGATAAGTAAGTATATATGATACTGCGCGGCATTTTAAAAAAATCTGCTTAAAGATACAGACTAGATCTACACAATCCTTTTAATCCTTTCTGAATCTGTAGTCAGTTTTGATCGAGGTTGGATCTGAAGGGGCACATCAGACAACAGGAGTGACTTGAGGATCAAGGAAGGATTAAAAGGAACATGTAGATCTGACCCAAGTGCTTCTGTGTATATTTATTTAGAAGTACATTCAGTTGAGTTCTGTGGGATTTACTCTGATGTAAATGGGCATAGATTACAGCCTTAAAATGTTTGATTCTTGCAATATATGTGAAGTAATACCTCCATCATCTATTATAGAATGCTCTGTAATATTTTATAATTTGAGTAAAGTTCTCCCATGCTGTCAACAAAAATGCTTGCCTTTGATCTTAAGAAATGAGTACGTGGAAGCGATAGCAGAAGGACTTCAATGGAAAGCCTTTCAACACAGGGCAATGGGTAAGTATTGTCAGGGAGGAATTGGACAAAATGATCTCAAAAGGCCTTGTTTAGTATACTGCTGAATTCAGGCATCATGTCAAACCGTAGTTTGCACTAACAGTAATTTGCAACCAAGGCAACACTTCAAAACAGACATGTTTTAGAATTGTTTTCTCTATTTTCAAATGTGCAGTATGGATTTTAGGAGCTTAGAGTACGTGTGAGTTAGCATTGCATAGGTTTTCTGCAAAGCAACATACCGTATGTTTTTCCTTCATTCTGACATTTTATAAATTGCCTTACATTCAAGGGACTGGAGATTTAGAAAATGCTGATGGGACAGAGAAAACACAGAGAGCCGAAGCCAGTGCAGGCGGGGTACTACCAAGAGTAAACCCATATTCAGTTATAACGATTTCACCGATGCAAGAAAAGGAGCCCTCATTATCACCAGAACCAAGTTCACAAGATGGAAGTATAAGCCCGACCCCCTCAACTGGATATTCTGTTCCTGTGCCCTGCGGCTATGCTGTACCATCCAATTTACCGTTGATATTGCCAGCGTACTCCAGTCCGGTTATAATACGCACTATCTCTGTGGATGAAGAAGGTAATTTATGTTTGTTCCATGATTTATTTACTTTTGAAAATGAATGTTCCATTCTAAGGTTCTCTCTAAGCTGTGTGTGTGCATGCGCATCTCTGCCTCCCTGTACACAGCTGTCTTCCTCCTCCACACAGCGATTGCTTTGGGTTCCAGTCATGATGGAACCCTGTGCGCAGGGGGAGTGGAGTTGCACACTCGCACAGGGGCGACATCCCGCACGAGAGAGGCAGAGCCCTGCCCAGCGGGCCTGAAAATTAGAGGGTATGTTGTTCCATTCTTTTACTGTAAAAAATTAGAGTCACATATAACATTAAACGTGAAGTAAACAACATACATAACAGTAGGGGGTGAGGAGGGAGGGAAAGATACAACGGAGAGAACCATCCAAAAAACAAAGTGTGAAGAAGATAAACTGTGACCATTTTGTTAACCAGTTATGCAGTTCACTAGATTTTTTTTTAAAGATCTAGTCTATAGGTTGCAACAAAGAGGAGAGGCCCCTCTTAACACCTCCATGTTTTGACCAAACCTTTTATGGAACACTTTTGAAGACATTGGTAAAACTGTACAGTGCATATAGATGGAAATAAGAGTCCTGCCTTCTCAAATAGATACATATGTGTCTGGGAAACACAACTGATGTGAGGTGCAGATACTTGCAAGCATGGGAGAAATAATTCAAAACAGAATATTTGCAAACAATTGTCTTCTGCTTAGCTTTGTATTGTTTTCAGTAATTTGTTTATTTTTCATTCTGGTATTTCAATTTTTGTCACATTACACTCGGAAACATGTATCGGTTAATTTAATCTCAGACCTCATCATTCCAGTAGTATATTTCTTGTCTCACTTTCTGAACTTTAACTTGATCATATATTCCATGTCTCATATTCTGTGTAACCATTCCATCTTTGTAAGGGGAATAATTTTTTTCCAGTTATTATAAAAACACATTTATACTGGAGTTAATCAATCTACAATGAATATTATGTATTCTGGTGCTGCAGGCTCTTTTAAGGCATCAAATGCCAAACCATGGCCTCTTATATGTCCAGTTTCCTTCAGCTTAGAAATGCAACATTTCTTTTTCTATGAACAAGATCAGAATGTATGGTAAAATGTCCACACCTGCTACCCTGTGTTACCAGCAATTATTATTGGTAATTATTAGATAGTTCCTCACCCCCCCAGCCATTATGAAGGAGAATACCACTTACACTGTAATTTATATAAACTCTCTCAAGTTCGGACAGAATGGCTGAAACCCAGTTTGCACGATTTCATGTAAATGGTGATGATGGCTTTACTCGGCAATGTTAATCTTATTTTAATCTAAAACATCCCCTTGCTCTCTAGAGGTGGAAGGGGATGGGGAGCCTTTAATATTAGAAAATCACAGTGTGGTGGTGATTTTCCTATATTAAAAGGTCCCCACCCGCCCATCTTAAAGCTCCCAAATACTTCCCCAAGGCAAAAGCAATTCCTAAGGAGCCTTGGACCTTGAAGGAAGGGACAGGAAGTTTTAAATTAAAATTTTAAAAGGTTACTGTCACCAGATGGTGATGTTATCACTATTTACACCTGGCAGAGTTGTGTAACAGGATTTCAGGTGTATGTTTGCAAAACCATTTCCAACTGTATGATGCTCTTAGTCCCTAAAGTTGATTTCACATTTAGTCTGATAGTTACTATAAGTTTGTTCCCATTTCCCTAGTAGCTTGTGTTAGTTACCCTGTATTCTTGGATCATTCATAAAAGGCTTTTTTTTAAAAAAAATCTGTTCAGTCTTGTAGACAGCCATATTTTCTGAATAAGTGTCTTCTGTTATACATGCAGATACTGAAGGAGCTGTATTTGTCAAGGGTTTGATGTTGAAACCAAAAACAAGTTTTTAGTAGTGCATTCTTAAGTGGCTCTCCAAAGCTGCTAATCTTGCTTCTTCCCAGAGTATAATATTATCTAATATTAAAACCTGAACTACAACTAGTTTTAGATTGTTGCCAGTTTTTAAAGAAGTCCTTAATGCAAGGATCCTTCCTTCTATGATACAAAATGATTTTTTCTTTTTCTTTTGAGTCTTTCTTGTTCTAAATTAGTCAGATTGCCTTCCTTAAACCAAGCCCTGAAGTGTTGCAATATGGTAGCTTAATAAGATATTTCTATATTTGGAAATGCCATTCCACCCTACAGTATATTTCGAAGCAGTGTTTTAACACTTAATAATTATTTCTTCCTGCCCCATAATAAAGTCAGGAGAATTTTTGCTGTATCAGAAGTAATACTTTGACTGAAGTCTTGTTAATGTCATCAGGAGTGGTCAATCACTGTTGATTAAAGGTGTTATGGTACAAATGTCTCGTACACAAAGCAGTGAAGTCATATGCCCCTCAATGTCCCCACAAGAAGCCTTTAATCGGCAGCTATTCATTTGAAAGATGGTGCTGGAGGACAGCTTTGCTGATACCCTCACAGAAAGACAAGCCTGAACTCTTTTGGGAGGCAAAATGATGAAATTGAGGCTGTCGTACTTTGGACACATCATGAGAATACAGGATTATCTGGAAAATACAGTCATGCTGGTAAATGTTAAAGGCAGCATAAAAAGATGAAAACCAAATACAAAATACAGTGGTGCCTCGCATAACGGGCTCCCCGTTTAACGACGAATCCGCATAGCGATCGCATAACGATGTTTCCTATGGGGAAAAATCGCTTTGCGATGATTGGTTAGCTGTTTCACTTACCGATTTTCGCATAGCGATGTTGTTTCTAACAGCTGATCGGTGGTTCCAAAATGGCCGCCGGGGAAAAAATGGCCACCCGCAGTGTTTTCGCGCCCTTTCCTCGCTTACCGGCCAGTGAAAATGGCGGCCGTATGGAGGATTTCCGCATAACGGTGAGTTTTTTGCCCATAGGAACACATTAAACGTGTTTTAATGCATTCCTATGGGCTTTTTTGTTCCGCATAGCGACGAATCTGTATAGCGACGATTTTTTCGGCACAGATTATCGTCACTATGTGGGGCACCACTGTACTTGAACAAATATTGTATTTAAAATGGTCAATAAAATCATTACCAAAAAATGCATGTGCTGTTGCTGCTGCGGTCATCACCATTGTGAACAGGTGTTTTGTTTCCTTATCCCTTAGATAAAGTATTTATGGAATATATTGTTTGTGAAATATAATCATGAGTCAGATACAGTGTGACAGGAATGGGGAATGTGCTGCTTTCCAGAGTTGTTTGGACTGGAACTCCTTCAACATCTGATTGGGCTAGTAAGGGCATATGGTAGCTGAAATCCAGCAGCATCTGAAGACCTGCACATTCCTTCACCCCAATCTATGAATATATATACAGTATTTAAAAAAGAAAGGGAAGAGGCAAACGGTTTTTTTCCTCTTGTCAGTATCCCCTCTCATTTCTTGATATCTTACATGTGAGTGATTATGTGCAATCCAAAGCTTTGTTCACAGCTTACTGGATCACCGTTTATCTTTTACGGCTACATTCCATGAGTTAATTTTTCTGGACCAGTTGTACTGACTCCACTTGTTCTCATTGTTCTCCTGCTGGAGGTTGGACATTATCATGGCTATACTGACTTTGAATGGGGTAGCTCTAAGCTAACAGTTCCCAATCTTGGGTCTATACATGTTCTTGGACTACAGCTCCCAGACTTCCTGGCCAGCACAGCTTCTGAGAGTTTTAGTCATAGAATATCTGGGAACCCAAGGTTGAGAACCACTGTTCTAAGCAATGAAATTGTGTTGCGTCCAAAGCGCTCTTCCTGCATCTTAATCCAATAAGTTTTTCTCCTTTTTGTTCTTTCTTTTCCCATTTATTTGGTCTTGAATGATTATCTGTAATAATGTGTACTTTTCTCCTTTGGATTTGTTTTGTTTTATGATTTCCTGTTCTTTATTCGTGCACTGCAACACTTCTTGTTGATCACCCTTCAGCTCAAGAAATTCTTGACATCCTGCAGTGAATTCAGCTTTTTGAATGGTTCTATCTTTTTTACAGCTGCCTATGTGTCCATGGTTCCCTGTCGTACAGTAGAATTGAGCATCCATAATACTGTACAATGTACAGAGTGTGTCTGAGTTGCATGTCTGGTCATGTACTTGATTGCACAAGTCAGATGCAGCCAAGCATCCTGTCAGTTAGCCACAATTAGCCATGACAAATTACATAGGCCTTACACATACTATGCCAATAGGATTCCAGACTTTGACACATCTGGCTGTTGATGTTCGGGCATGCCAGTTTTAACTCAGACACAAGCCACTTGTATACCGGAAAAGAGAAGGAATAATCCTTTCAATTTTCAGTTTATTATTTTTCCCTTAACTGCAACCAATACTTTCCAGTCTTGGGTGTGTTCTTTATCCCTAGCCTACGGCTGTATCATATTTTGTGTATTTACGCTTTTTGCCAACAGGACTCAGTAAAACGCAGTGGTTAGGAAGTAGCTGGGTGTGGATGTGCATAAGCTAAAGGTCTGATTCTACAGTAGGTCTGATTCTCTACTCTGCAGGCTGACCTATCTGTTTTCCTTTCCTGCTTACACTAACTAGGAAGAGACAGAATGCTCTATCATTGTCAGAGGAATTAAAAATCAAACTGAATTGCACTTTAGAGTAGACCGTTGGTCTAGATGGGCGGGATAGAAATCTAATCAATCAATCAATCAATCAATCAATCAATCAATATTTGGTCAAAGGCATTTTGCTTAGCACACCAATGAATAGTCATCCAAAATGACTATGTTTTAAATTGTTGTGTTTTAACATGGCTGAGTGAACACCTACTTCTGTTTCTTCTTAGCAAATGTTCACATGGTTGCTGACGATTGCCATTCAAATTCTCAAAGTTCAGAGGAGCCTCAGAACAAGTAAGTCAAAAATCTACAGCAATTTATTTATGAGAAAACTCTTCTGTAGAGAGTAAACAGAATCTGATGGGTGAGGGCATTGATAGCAGCCATCTTCATTATTACCTGGTTGGTTTATAATTGAAGGCAGAACCCCTATTGGCAGTCAGATGTTGATGGTTGTGGGTTTTCTGGAAGTATCTGGTTGGACATGATGGAGACAGAATGCTGAACTAAATGTTTTGATCCAGCATGGCACTTAATTTTCTGTTTTCTCACTATGAGAGAAGTAGGCAACCTCCCCCCCCCCCATTAAGAGCCACGTTCTCTCTGTCATAGTCTACACACTGGAAATTTGTGAGGCTGGAGCTCTCAATGATTAGGATCAGAGTTAAGAGCCATCTCCCTTTCTTTTTTCAAACTTCTCTCTGTCTCTCTCTTGGCCAGTTGCCCACTTTTCTCCCTTTTCTCTTTTTCCTCCCCACTGAGCAAACTGCTGGAGTAGGGCGAGGTTACTCCTCAACATTGATGGGATTTGAAGTTAAGAGCTGAGGACTGCAGATTATCTACCCCTGTTTGGTGGTTTATGCAGTTGTTTCCTGTGCCTACAACAGCTGCCCAAACTAGTTCTTCCTTCTGATTCTTCAGTCTCTCTGTAATCAGCCTTGCTTTACATTCCCTGCAGCTATGGATCCATTTAATTTCTATCATGACTCACATTTTTGAGTCATCTTAGACCTCTCCCTTTATGTCATGTTTAGTTTGTTTAGCTTGTAAGCTGTCTGGATGGAAATTACCCCATTTCAGTTGCCAGGGGTGTTTTCCTTTCCCTTCCAAACCAAAATATTTGTTTTGGAAAAAGGAAAGGCAAATATTTGTTAGGCAATTCCGTCAAAATTGGATTGCTATGTTTAGGCTTCTAGTCAAACACATACAGGCAGCGATCCATATGGGCCATATTTGAGCAAAAAACCCCTTGGTCCCATTCACATCTGTTTTCTATTGTTTTTCCAAGCACACATATGGAAGAGAAAGTCTTTCCTAGGGGCCCAGAAATAAATATTGCTTAAAGAGAATATGCTTCTGTTTTTGTCCTGAGAGGAGTTTAAAATAATGCACAAGTAAAACTGCAGGTTACACTCTGTCCTCTTGTCTCCACCTCCCCATGAGACTGTGAACAAAATGGCACTGATATGAATGTGCAGAGACACACATCTTTTACCAGGTTCTGAATTAGCACTGCTTACTATGGCAACCTGTGTGCGCTCTTAGACGTGGATAGGAAGGTAGGGACCATTGCAGTGTTGCATTACTAGGAGAAGTATAATGGATGAGGTCCTGAGATCGTGCAGTTCTCTCCTCCGATGGGCATGTTTGATATCAACGTTGAAGTTTTTACACCCAGCAATTCACTCGAGCTTTTTTATGAGCAGTGAGTTGATGCAGTACTGAATATGATTGGCTCTATTTTCAGTCAATTCAATATCTTTGCTCATTGGTTAATGATTTTTATCAGACATGTATTTATTGGATTTTACAGATGGTTGTTCTAATAATGTGGTTACAGAACACTTGTGTTTTTAGGATGAGGAGGCTATAAATAGTAATATCTGTATTACATGAGAAAAAGGCCATTTCAGAGGTGATTTTCCTATCAAACTGTGCCGGATGGTGGGGAGAAAAGGGCAGCTGTTCCGTAGCGATCTGGCAATCATCGTGATCGGCATGTGGTTGCTGATACCTTGAGACATCTGCACAGCTTCTTTACATCCAAGTCTTTTCTCTTCCAGGACATAGCTGGATGTTGGGAGCATGGCCCTTTCTGCATCAAGGGCTGTACTATTCCCCACCCCACCCCATACCCTCTGCCACTGTCTGTAAAAAAAATTCTAGTTAATTGGAGCCTATATAAAGCTTATTTTTAAATCTATATACAAATTAGGTACATGATTGGAGTTCATATTAGTTTCATTTCTGCTGCCCCCCCCCAAAAAAAATCTCCAACATATTTAGGGAGGGGGTTGGCTTAAGTTTTGAAAATCAAAATGTGTTTGTCTTGGTCTCCAGTTCTCATTCAGATATGAACAGAGGAAATTTTAGAGAAGCAACTGTGTCAACATTACAGTCACCTGAAATGCCCTTTAGCTTTCATTATATATCTTAGATATTTTTATATATAATATATATATAATGAAAGCTAAAGGGCATTTCAGGTGACTGTAATTCCAGAGACTAAATGAGAGTTGCCTTAAAACAATATACTATTCCATCATTATAGGGACTAAACTATCCCTAAACTTAATTAGGATTTCATTGCAAGATTTCTTTTTCAGTCTATTTTAATTAAGATTTTTAATTAAGATTGTGTCTATTTTGACCACTTATCTTTCTTTGTGTGTGTGTGCATGCTTATTTTAAAGTGAAGATAATCAAGGGAATAAAGATGACGGTGTCTTGGCCAAGTGGGCTGCTGATCCCGCAAACACAGAGTGGATGGAGAGTAAGTACTGGTGACTTCAGTTGCTCTCTATAATGGCTAAGTGACTTTTAGTGAATTGTTTTAAAAGCTGTTTATATAGGAATGTTTGTTTTGAAATAAATTATTTCCCAGTGGTTTCCAACCTTGGGTAACCCAGGTGTTCTTGGACTGCAACTCCCAGAAACTCAGGTCAGCACCATTGCATTGATGGATGCCTAGACCAAAGCCAAATTTTGGCTAGCTGGATATGCTGGTCCATGTGGGGAAAAGCACATGAATGGAAGGGAAAGACAATATTTTATACATATTTATTGGATTATCTTCAAAAGAAAGCCACGTACCTGACATTGTTTTCCCATTGGTTTTTGTTATCTGGAAAAGGCTGTTCAGGGTAGCAATTTGATCTTTGTGAATTCTGATAGGAACTGCAGCTTCTTGATTTACCTGTAGACTGCCCTTAGTTATTTATTGGCTTTTGCACAGCTGAAATGTTTAGTGCAGTTTTTCACACATTTACTCTATGCAAATAGAGCTTAATATGCATATTTTAAGAGAAGATGCCTTTTGGAGAAACTTATTTAAATGTGACTTCCCCACCCACTCATTTTTTGGTATGTAGTTTGCAGCCTTCAGGCATTAGAATGTGAGAGGGGACTGTGTGGCCCTCCAGTGCTTGTTCCACTTTCCTCACCATTTGCAGTCCTGATTAAGCATGATGGAGCTTCTCCAGGGGGCCCCACATTTCCCCACCCCTGGGCTGGATGATGGGCACTTGCTGCTCAAGCTGTAGTCAGTTGCTTGAGCAGCCAGCATGTATGGGCATGCAAGAGGGCTGCATGCGTACATTTGGCCCGTAGCCCGGATCTGCTGATTTGCATGGTTGCTAGATGAGAATCAGAGAAATAATTGCTGAGAAGATGTTTAGATGAGCAAAGATATCTGAGATAACACAGGTTTTTCTTAGAGATCTGAGAGTGCGAGACAGTAGTAGGTGGAAGGGAAATCCTCTATAAATGAAGAGGCAGAGTTAGGGAGTATCCAGTCTGACTGCGCATCATTTAAAACGTGTAAAATCGAGAAGTAGTATGAGATATGATGTGATATATGATATGATACGATACAATATGATATAGTGAATAAGGTCCTCTTCCTTAACAGGTTGTATGATGTGTGTTGCGTTTCTTATTTATACTTAACCATTATTTTGTCACATTAGACAGCACAGTGCTCGGGAACCTTTTGGACTGCCAAGATGTTCTGGAATGCCACACTCCTCACTGGCTCTACTGGATAGAGACCCCATCTTCTTTCATCCCTCTGTTTCTGGAAGTGGTTTGGTTTGGTTCAGTCACAGTTTTCCTGTATGTTTTGTTTTCAGATGCAGATGAAGTCATTTATGATGATGTACCCAGAGAAAATTCAGATTCTGAACCAGGTATTAGTTTAAATTCTATCTTTTGTAGACTTGCAGTTATCAAAAATGTTTACAGGAGAGAATACTTACACAGGTACTAACAGAGAAAGTGCTAAATCTTTTCTTTACCTGCCATATCCTCGTTTCAAATTCCTCTCTACTTGCTCCTAACCCGTGTGGCTTCAGGTTGTGTGTTTGCAGAATAATACTGGTCACTCACAAAGTACATCAATGAAGTGAAACATAACTGAAGATAAAATAGATATGTATTGAAAGGACTCTGAAGCTCCTTTGCCATTCCTTTCAATAAGTGATGTTTGCATATAAAGTGGAAAGGCCTGTTTTATCAAAGGCATTTTAATCCATATAGTACAAACATGCATGCATGAGTTTATTCAGGGTATATGTAGTACTATTGGTAGTGGTGGGAAAGTTCTCCAATATCATGCATGAAACCTCAATTTCCTTTATTTTCATGACTGTCCACGGCTGTTCTGCTGCTGTGGCTGCTGTTGTCATTAATGCCTTGTTCTTCTTCCCTGACATGATCCTAGCTAGTTAAAAATCATCTAGTAGGCTCCTGATGACATCATGATGCTGTGGTAGCCAAATTGTCAGAAAATTTTGCCACCCCTCCCAAGTGACAGTGTACCTGAATTACATAATCTAGGTGTGGGGAATCTCAGTGAGGCTGTAGGCCACTGGGGGGAAAAATACCAGCAGCCAGAGGACTGCATTCCTCAGAGGGCAGAGCAAAAAGAACTATTTTCCATTTATTTTAATTTTTTAAATGGTGATTAGGTATCGTAAGAGTTGCTTTAATAGGTTTTAATAAAGGAAATATGAATTTATTTTTTTAAAAAATGAAAAAGCTCCTATGCATCCTCTAAAACAGTGGTGTTCCCAACCTTGGCCAATCCAGATGCGCTGGGACTGCAACTCCCAGAAACCATGGCCAGCACAGCTGGTGGTGGAAGCTTCTGGGAATTGCAGTCCAAGAACAATGACCTGGGTTAGCCAAGATTGGGAACCACTTCTCTAAAATATAATAATAAAAATATGTATTTTTGAGAATGTTTTGCTGAGTGCCCCCCCCCAAATGAAGAATTTGCACTCTATGGCTCTTAGAGACATTCTGAGCAAAATATATTCTATTAAAAAAATTAAATGTGTGTTAGGGAATATGGAGGCTGTAGGGATGGTTGGGACTGCAGAAATGCCCCTTGGCGTCACATGTTGCTCACTCCTGACATAACCAAATGTAATTGACTATGTAGCATCTTGGCTGAATGGACAAACACTTTCATAATATCCTTGATAATATGTATGTCTATTATCTGAACTTATAAAATGTTTGCCAAAAGCAAAGAGTTGTGTCAGATTTAATTTTAGTGCTTCTGCATTCAAGTCAACTGTGGATCACATTTTCCCCCCAGATGTTCCCCTTCATGGTCACTTATGTACATCCCGTGTTTTATTTTGTCACATTAGACAGCACGGCGCTGGGGAACCTTTTGGACTGCCAAGATGTTTTGGAATGCCACACTCCTCACTGGTGCTACTGGATAGAGACCCCCATCTTCTTTCATCTCTCTGTTTCTGGAAGTGGTTTGGTTTGGTTCAGTCACAGTTTTCCTGTATGTTTTGTTTTCAGATGCAGATGAAGTCATTTATGATGATGTACCCAGAGAAAATTCAGATTCTGAACCAGGTATTAGTTTAAATTCTATCTTTTGTAGACTTGCAGTTATCAGAAATGTTTACAGGAGAGAATACTGACACAGGTACTAACAGAGAAGGTGCTAAATCCTTTCTTTACCTGCCATATCCTCGTTTCAGATTCCTCTCTACTTGCTCCTAACCCGTGTGGCTTCAGGTTGTGTGTTTGCAGAATAATACTGGTCACTCACAAAGTACATCAATGAAGTGAAACATAACTGAAGATAAAATAGATATGTATTGAAAGGACTCTGAAGCTCCTTTGCCATTCCTTTCAATAAGTGATGTTTGCATATAAAGTGGAAAGGCCTGTTTTATCAAAGGCATTTTAATCCATATAGTACAAACATGCATGTATGAGTTTATTCAGGGTATATGTAGTACTATTGGTAGTGGTGGGAAAGTTCTCCAATATCATGCATGAAACCTCAATTTCCTTTATTTTCATGACTGTCCACGGCTGTTCTGCTGCTGTGGCTGCTGTTGTCATTAATGCCTTGTTCTTCTTCCCTGACATGATCCTAGCTAGTTAAAAATCATCTAGTAGGCTCCTGATGACATCATGATGCTGTGGTAGCCAAATTGTCAGAAAATTTTGCCACCCCTCCCAAGTGACAGTGTACCTGAATTACATAATCTAGGTGTGGGGAATCTCAGTGAGGCTGTAGGCCACTGGGGGGAAAAATACCAGCAGCCAGAGGACTGCATTCCTCAGAGGGCAGAGCAAAAAGAACTATTTTCCATTTATTTTAATTTTTTAAATGGTGATTAGGTATCGTAAGAGTTGCTTTAATAGGTTTTAATAAAGGAAATATGAATTTATTTTTTAAAAAATGAAAAAGCTCCTATGCATCCTCTAAAACAGTGGTGTTCCCAACCTTGGCCAATCCAGATGCGCTGGGACTGCAACTCCCAGAAACCATGGCCAGCACAGCTGGTGGTGGAAGCTTCTGGGAATTGCAGTCCAAGAACAAAGACCTGGGTTAGCCAAGATTGGGAACCACTTCTCTAAAATATAATAATAAAAATATGTATTTTTGAGAATGTTTTGCTGAGTGCCCCCCCCCAAATGAAGAATTTGCACTCTATGGCTCTTAGAGACATTCTGAGCAAAATATATTCTATTAAAAAAATTAAATGTGTGTTAGGGAATATGGAGGCTGTAGGGATGGTTGGGACTGCAGAAATGCCCCTTGGCGTCACATGTTGCTCACTCCTGACATAACCAAATGTAATTGACTATGTAGCATCTTGGCTGAATGGACAAACACTTTCATAATATCCTTGATAATATGTATGTCTATTATCTGAACTTATAAAATGTTTGCCAAAAGCAAAGAGTTGTGTCAGATTTAATTTTAGTGCTTCTGCATTCAAGTCAACTGTGGATCACATTTTCCCCCCAGATGTTCCCCTTCATGGTCACTTATGTACATCCCGTGTTTTAATGTTGCATGTCTAGATTTTCCTGCTGGGTGTTCATGTCATTACTGTGTGCAGCACTTTACCCTTGTGTCTGTTGTGTTTATTATCCTTTCAACTATGGGTCACTGCACCTTCTTTAAAAGAAACACAAAAGAGACATGACAAATGGACAGCTGTGGATAATTTCTTATGACAATATGAGAGAGTAATTTTGTATTTAAGCACAGCTGTATTTCTCCTGAAATTAAAGATCACATGTGGCCAGGTCTTCTGTACAAGCATAAACTAATGGGGGAAATGCTCTTAAACATATGCAGCAGTTAAAGTGCAACCAGTATTTTCCGTCATTGATTGTGCTTCCTAATACTCTGAGCTACCAAAGCAAGATGAAGACTCACTTTAGAACTGGGGTTATGTTTTAAAGTTATGAAAGTGAATTGTCATCCCAGAGTTTGCAAAAAGAATAAATTATGTAAATAGAACATATTGAATTAGATTTTCTTTATTCAGGGGACTCATGTCTTATTAATGAAAATGTGGGAGTTTGTAGAACATGGAATAATGAGAAAAGATGTGCTATTCTTGAAACAGCACAGGGGCATATTTGTGTGTGTGTGGGGATGAATATATTTGCTATATCATTTTAAGCTTTTCTCTGCAAAATGTGGGTCTGCGGGGCAGGAGGAAATACATTTAAATAGCAAATTATCCCTCTCAGATTCTTCTTGGGATACAGTTTGCTGTTCTGGGAGGCTAAAAAGGTGCTATTCCTGGGGTGCTCATGGTTTGCATCACCACAGGACCTGCGGGATGGCAAAATGGATGCCTGACCTTCAGACCTCCCCCTACTGTAGATGTTTAATACACAAGAGACTCAAGTTGGTGCTCAAGTAACATTTGTGGTGTGACAACAGACACATTTGATATCTCTCTCTCTCTCTCTCTCTCTCTCTCTCTCTCTCTCTCTCTCTCTTTTATCTTCTATCCCCTTCTCTCCTTCCCAATCTTTTGCCCTTTGTCTGCTGGACTGAAAATTGCAAATCTTCCTTGTAATACTTTTCCTTCTTCAAGTTGCTACTGGTAGAGAGATATTCCTTCTTTAACAGGCATGTAGCATTAATTTTTACCCTTAATAGCTTAACAAAATTATATTTTGCATATTACTGCATGCAGAGGAGATGATTTACGATGATGTTGAGAATGGAGATGAAGGTGGAAATAGCTCTCTAGACTATGGGTGGAGTTCGAGTGAGTTTGAAAGCTACGAAGAGCAAAGTGACTCAGAGTGTAAAAATGGAATGCCGGGTTCTTTCCTTCGTGGCAACCACAGAAGACAAGTATGTAACTTTCTGACAGCATTTTTTGGCATATTGTTTACATGCTTCCCAGCACCACAGGCTTTACATTGTCTAATTTTTCTCACGCATCACATGTTAAGCCATAAATGTAGACAGTTACAATGAGAAAGGAAGAGATAATCTAGACAAAGAGAGAGAAAAATGGCAAATGTGCAGTGGTATCTACCTGCTTTGGGCAGTGAGAATTTTCATTTCCTCTGCTGACATCTCATAAGCAACATTGTAATTTGCAAGATAATCTTGTAAATCCCAAAACTTTACAGGGTGTTGTAATTATTCTTGTTGCATATACTGTAAACCAAGTCAGGAAAATTTATTTACCGTAGCATGAAATGTTCAGCTGATGATCATGCACAATTCGTGATTTCAGTGAGTAGCACAGAGCCTCCATGAAAGGCTATATTGATAAACCTGTACTTGGGATAAGGTAAAAGGTAAAGGTTCCCCTTGACAATTTTTGTCCAGTTATGTTCGACTCTAGGGGGCGGTGCTCACCCCCGTTTCCAAGCCATAGAGCCAGCGTTTTTGTCCAGAGACAATCTTCCGTGGTCACATGGCCAGTGCGACTTAGACACGGAACGCTGTTACCTTCCCACCGAGGTGGTCCCTATTTATCTACTTGCATTTGCATGCTTTCGAACCGCTAGGTTGGCGGGAGACTTGGGATAAACCTCTGTATATATTTCCTAAACTCTGGAGGGCTGTGGAAGAGTAAGAGACAGTTTTTAAAACTGTAGTTTTATGTAGGGGCCGCAGATAACTTCCATACACCCTAATGACCCCCGTCTTCTAATTTTATTGACCCCTAAATTGCTCTTTGTGCCCCTGTCAGAAGCTGGGTTGTCACTTCCAGTTTCTTTAAAAAGTGTTTTTAAGGTTTAAAAGAAGCCACAAAGGAAACTGTTTAATGTGTACATTATAAATCATGTAATGTAATAAAATGTTTACATGGTACATCATGCCCTTCTCCCAAAGGTTTTAGGTGACAATTTGCCATTTTGACACATCAGATATTTATGTGTGTATATATGTTTGCACATGCGCATACACGCATGTGCATGCACAGATAGAACACACAACACACACACACACACACACACACACGTACCGTCAGGGTGTGAGTGGCAGGTGTGTGAGGGGGATTGTAGAGCCTTCCAGGGTCTTTGAGAGAGTACAGATGCCCCCCTGTCCTTGGAGTTGCCTACATATGCCTTTCAGGCATGTTCAAGAGTCTCTTGAACTCTTACAATATATTTTAGCTATAAACGTTTTGATAGTGGTAGATAAAAGGGTCACATACACTGTTTTCCTGAAAATAAGGCCTAACCTGAAAATAAGGCCTCATTGAGTGAAACCCTGCCCTACATCATTGTGCAGCAACCAGAAGATGATGACATGACTGTATTTGAATGAAGGTAGATTGTTGTACATGAAAAAAATAAAACATCCCCTGAAAATAAGCTCTAATGCGTTTTTGGGAGCAGAAATTAATAATACAACCCTGTCTTATTTTCGGGGAAACACAGTGTTTCTAAAATTGTGAAGATCACAAGTTATGAACAAGGGTTATCCTAGCAAGATGAATATTGATTCAAATCAGCTGAAGAGAACAATGTTCCATGTGTTTGGAAAAATCATTTTGCCAGTGGAGCTGGGCATGAACCCATTACTAAGTTCAAGCTTTAGAAAGAGGAAAACATTGTTCTTTTTTTTAAAAAAAAATATCTGGCCACCAGCATGCATGATAGCGCTCAAGTGCTTTAGTGTAAAGTTTAAGATTGTATCTTTTTGTATGCTATAGCTTTCTCATGACCTAACCCGTTTAAAGGAGCACTATGAAAAAAAGATGAAAGATTTGATGGCAAACACGGTGGGAGCAGTAGAGATTCAGCAGCTAAAGCAAAAACATGAGCTGAAGGTAGCGTAGCTGATTTTTGTAACAAGATAAATGTTAAAATTGTTGTTCTTCAAACACAATGAATATGTGTTTTAATAGGTGGTGGGAAAAACTGAACATTTTGTATTTAAACGGTGCTGTCTGCATTGCTGCTGGCCTTAAAAGAACATGGTCAAGGTCTTTTCCGCCTGGTTACTTTGCTTTGCCCTGGTGCTCATAATCCTTAGAAAGGGAGATGCAAAGTTAATTTTCTGTATTGATGGTTAGTTGTATTTGTGCAATGGGATCCACAGGGATGTATCATGATGGCTCAGCACAGCTGAGTTGACAAAGGTGTTTTTCAGTGGTAAGACTACATAGCTTTTTAGTTCTTTGGAAATCTGAATGGCCATGTGTTTTCTTTTTATCCCTTTCAGCTTAAATACATTTTGGTATATTTTAAAAACCAATATTTGATAAGGGACTATTAGTTTTGCTCAATATGCAGCATGATGAGTGTGGGGACTCAATTGCTCAACATAATGGCATTTCATTTCTAACTAATTAGTTGCCTCCTAGATTTCCATTTTTAAAAAAGTTTTTGGATTTATTAAGACTTCATTGGGAGAAAACATTGCCAGTATAAATGGAAAATATATGTACCCTGTTTCCTTGAAAATAAGACCTAACCTGAAAATAAGCCTTAGTATGATTTTTCAGAATGCTCGTAATATAAGCCCTACCAAAAAAATAAGCCCTAGTTAAGTGAAAGCCCCCCCTCCACCATTATACAGCAACCAGAAGATGACATGACTGTATTTGAATAAATGTAGATTGTTGTACATGAAAAAAAAATCCCCTGAAAATAAGCCCTACTGCGTTTTCTGGAGCAAAAATTAATATAAGACCCTGTCTTATTTTCGGGGAAACACGGTATATGTGAAATATAGAAGACTCATCAAAAAAAGCCATGAAGGGCACAAAAGGCTATATGCAAAAAGGTGTGCAACTGTACATACTATGCATTCATCACTCTTGGTGTCCATAACTTGACATTGTTCTTTTTAAGAGCAAGTGCATATGGGAAGTACCTGCTACAACACTTTTAAGCCATCCCGTCCTACTCTTATTATTCACTGAATTTGTAGAATATGTTTATTACTGTTTTGTAGATGCAGAAGCTCATGAGAGCAGCAAGAGAAGGCACTAAAGATGGACTTGAAAAAACAAAAGCTGCTGTGAAGAAAGGTCGGTCATTCATAAGAACCAGGTCATTTATTAGTCAAGGTATGTATTGATTTTTTAAAAAAGAATTGCTCAAATGGACACTTATTTTGTAAAACATGTTACAGAAATAATATCCTAGTGCCCTTGTTTACAGCTTAGAAGCTGTAACTAGTATGTCAGGAAAGTGCTTGAGAGTGCTGATTGCCAAAAGGTACCATATTTTTTGCTCCATAAGACGCACCTGACCTTAAGACGCACCTAATTTTTAGAGGAGGAACACAGGAAAAATATTCTGAACCAAATAGTGTAATAAAATATTTAATAAACTATAACAGAATAACATTTGAACCATGTAAAGTGAACAGCAGTCAACAGTGGCATTAAGAACCATTACTACTGTCATTAACAAATGGAGAGACTTAAAGGTTTGTACACTCTAGTTTATGTACCATAAATTTAAGTCAAGTACATATAGACCATTATCAGCCAGTGATAAGACCTATAC